AACACGAACTCCTGCGTAGTACGATCGTAGTCGGCACGTGTCTCTAGCCCACGCAAGAATGTGCCATGTCCTAATTCAGTTTGTGCATAAGTGCCCGTAATTTCGAAGTTCTCAACGCGTTTGCCAAAGCGTTCCCACTGCTCATCGGTGCCTTGCATTTTGATCGCATCCACCATCATTGCGAACTGCACGCCAAAGGGGTTGCCAGCTGGAATGGCACCCCATATCCAAGTGGACGAATAAAGCTTGCTGAAATTGTGAATGTTTTGAGCTCACTAAGGACACATACTTTAGTCGTTTTTGGTCTTACGGCCATATATCATTGCCGCCAGGGTTGATGCGTTGCTGCATGGCACGCAGTTTTTTTGCCACCTCAAAGGATTGCTTCAACCCCAACTCGAAGATCTCTTCATGTGATTTATAGTGTAGTAGTGTATTGTGCTCGGTCATATCGTTGAAGAGCTCTTGTTCTATGTTTGGAAAAATTTTGAATAATAAGAAAAAATAATTAGCCATAGTTATTATAAAGGGTGTTTTGTAGACACGTGTTTTTAAAGAACACATAACTTAGTGTTATGACTAAGAAGCTTATTATAATGATACGCTTTTGATTTTTTGTTTTAAAATTGATTAATTGGTTCGAATAAATTCCAGCCGGGAGACCCAATTTTCGATCACCTTTTACAGCAATTGTGTGGTCGTATGTCAACAATAAACCGCCGAATATTCTCTTCCTAGACTTTGCTGGTCTCGGATAAAATTTCCTTCCACAAAATACTCTTTTGGTTGCTTCTTCTTCTTCACTCCTTCTTCGAAGACCTGGTATGTCTGACGCTGGTTTCGATATAAATTTTTGTCTCCGAGCTTTGCTGCCTTATAATTTTTAATAGTTCACCGAAAAGGAGTCAGGAACCTGAGATCTGGTTAGCTAGTCAAAGTCAGCTCCTTTCGACGTTCGGAATTAGTAACCGCCAACATTGTTTGCACACATATTCGGGAAGTCATATTATTAAGCCAACATCCATTAACAACGATTAAAAATTAAATTATCTGGCCTTTTTTTATACCAATTCATGGCGCTTATTGCAACGCCAGATAAACAAAAACAACCGACATAAAATACGCAAGCACATAAACTAAAGATTTTATTCGATTCAATGAACTTTGAATTCATCTTCTAAGCTGTAGTTTTTATTGCCTTTTTAGTATTTGTACAATGACTCGCATCATTATCGATTAGCGGTTGCATTTCTTAATCGAAATATTACAGGTGAAAGTATATTCACAGTCCAACATACATAGGTATAACACATGTTGGAAATGCTCAAAGTTCAGCATTTCGAAATATGAAAACTAAAACACTCATTACCCAGTTCTCTCTTGAGGCGTAACTTCTCCGCCCCACCATGCCACCAACGCGCAAATTCGTCAACACGGAAACTAGCTCCATCCCGTTCCTTTTGCAGATCTGGATTCACAAGTTCCGATACCGAATTTTGCTGGGCAGGCATTATTTTTCAAAATTTTTTAATTGGAAATAATTTAATTCAATGAAAAGTATTTAACTGCAAACTATTTGTCACACTGTGTGTATTTCCAGAATTCTTTCGCACTTTACAGTTTAACTAAGCACGTTCGCGAACCGACTGATCGTCATGCTCTTCAGTCAGCCAACTCTTATGTACCTTCCATAGTTCTTTGGTGTGGTTTAGGTGAGAAAAGCTCTATTGCGGTACAAGTTGTAGTAGGTAAAGTGTGGTGTAGGCAGAGGTGAAAGCAATCCGCTTGAGTACATATTGAAAAAGCGTGTTGGTAAACAAAAAGGGAAAAAGCTCGATGATAAGCGAAAGTATTATGTATTCGATTTTTGTTTTGGTTCATCAAATCTATAAAAATACATATGTACAAGTGGTATTGTGAACTCAGTTCGATTTCAGAATGTGAGAACAAATTAATCCAAAGGGGAGGTCCAATGTCTGATATTTTTAGTATTCTACATTCTTAGCTATTACTCAGCAGCTGGATAACAACAAGTTATCATAAATCTCCAATCGAGAGAGGTATAACAGTATAAAATAAGGAACTACCAACTAGACAAAAATATTTTCGAATATTTTACAAAAATATTTTCGAATATTTTATTTCCCTACAATAACAACAATAATCATAAGATTGGCGTTATAAACCATGGATAATTTGTGTACTAAAATTTTTGATTATATCCAATCTAATCTTTATCACTCGACCTCGTATGTCTCTCTTTTGTGTAAATATGTATTGATAGAACATTTAAGTGAGTTCATTTCCCGGCATTTAATTTCGGAATAAAGCCGGCATTCGTTATGTTTTGCTTTCACGTTCCACAAACAATGTTATGCGTGATGAGCATGATTTTTTCACTTCTCTTCAGTTTAACAGTACAAAAATATGCGCGCTTCTCATAGCTTAGCATAGCGATAAAATAAATATTTTGAGCAGTATTAATTCCTAACAAAATTAAATATTTGGAAGTTTTGCGGAAAATTGTGTTTTACCAAAACAAAAATGAAGTTTTGTAAAATTAGAAAACTGCCAAAACTTTTTTTTTATATAGAACGTATTCTTAATATATAGTTATACATACTTTTTAAAGAACGATTTTATTTTTTTTATCCAAGCTATGAAAAAGTAATTATTAATCAGTTATTTTTATAAACATAAATGAATCAAAATCTTCAAAATTATCTCTGCAAATGTTTAGCATATCTTAACAGATATGTGTTAACCGTAAATACGTTTACCGTAACCTTTTCCAAATTTCATATGTAAACTAACTTTCATCTGTAACCATTTGAGAGAGTTAATCTTATTGCCTTTATATTAGCAGGAAACATCGAAAAGTTTCTAACGGTAGATAATTTTAAAATAGAGAATGTTAACGCATTAATGTTAACGAATTCAACGACCTTCATTAACAGTCACTAACTTAGCAGCATAAACCACTCAGCAACAACTACCACCCACATCTATTTCTAACAGCGATGGCTGTTAACGAAGAGTTTACAGCAACATGAACAACAGTATATAATGTTAATTTTAACAGTTTGTGTTGTTTAACAGTCGCTGGCTTGGCATGGAAAACTTTTGCGCAGACACAATTTGTATCTACTAACAGCGAATGTTGTGCCTATACAGCTACGATAAAAACTATTAACAGAAATACACTTGTGCTCACATAATTAAGCCACTGCATAGCAAAACTACGTTTCTGAAAATAAATTCACCGAATTAGCTTTTCATTT